TATTTTCTCTCTCTTTTTCTCTCTCTCTCTCTGATCAAACTGGAAAATAATAATAATAAAGTTAAATAAAAATAATTATTTTTAAAAAGATTTTTTATTTTATTTATCATTGTTATTATTTTTAAATTTGCTCCAGGGCACATGTGCTCACCAGAAAGAGACAGAGAGAGCGAGAAGAAGAGAGAAAGAGAGAAAGCAAGCCGCCAGGTTTGGGACTCGAACCACGGTTGGCTATGTAGGAGTCCAGTGCCTTAACCACCACACTACCTGCTGGTGCACAAGTTATATTTCTTTTTTTTTGGAGAGGTTTTTGCTATAGGGTGCGTGCGTTCTCCAGAAAGACAGAGACAGAGAGATAGAAAGTGAGAATCACCCCCCAGGGGGGATGGCCACACCACAATACCTTCTCCTCCTTTCTCCTCTCAGGATCTTGGGCTCACATGCACATGCACCTGGCGTGATTTTAAGCCACCAGTTCCAGGACTCGAATCGCGGTTGGCTATGTGGGAGTTCAGCGACATAGTCATTACGCTAACTGCTGGTCCCACAAGTTATATTTCTTATGAAATACTTTATTTCAAAAAATTTTTTAAAGAATTTATTTAGTTTTATTTATTATTATCCCTCTTCAATTGAACTAGAGAGAGACAGAGGGAGGGTGGTCAGCCATGTGGGAGTCCAGCACCTTAACAGTCACACCACCTGCCAGCCCATAAGTGAAGGACTCCATTAGCAGATCCTATACTTTTATCAGAAAATACTCAATGCATTTTATAATTGTTTACATCTCGTATCTATCACAAGAAAATAGATGTCTTCCCCCCTTTAAATGTTTAATTTTTTTAAAAAGAATTATTTATTTAATTTCATTCATCATTATTATTTTTTAATTTGACCAGAGAGAGAGGGAAAGTGAGCAAGCAAGCTGCGAAGTCAGGATCCACACTGCAGTCAGCCATGTGGGCGTCTAGCACCTCTACCTCCACATAGCCTACTGACCCCAAGCTTAATGTTTTTTTTTTTAAGGAAAAAAAAAAAAAACAGCGCGATGACCACAGCAGTTGCTCAGTAAATACTTGATAACTAAATGAAATACAAAATAAGAATAGTTTCTGGGTATAAACAGTAGTTATAGATAACTACTGCAGACTTTCTGAATTATTGTATTTCCGTATATCTTGACCCTTTCAAATACTAGTCATTTTGAAAGCTGGCAAAAAATAATATGAAAAGGCAAATAAAATTCAATAGTGCATTTCGACTGTAAGAGTAGTTATATAAACATTCACAGTTACACATTTTCTTAAATAATTATTCTTATACTAGCAATTTTTTTTTTTGGAGAGGCTTTCGCTATAGGGCACGTGCGCTCGCCAGACAGACAGAGAGAGACAGAAAGCGAGAAATCACCCCCCAGAGGGGATGGTCACGCCGCAATCCCTTCTCCATTCTCCTCTCGGGATCTTGGGCACGCACGCCCACGCGCCCGGGACGCGAACCGCGGTCGACTACGTGAGAGTCCAGCGACATAGCCATTACGCTAACTGTTGGTTCCCATACTAGCAAATTTTATATTCTTGTACGTAAAATTGAAATTTGTACTTTCCTAGATTGCAAAGGACAATGAGTGGCAATCAAGGTATAAATCATTACTTAATTGCAATTAAGATAATTTGATATAGTAGAGAATCATGTGGTTAGCAGCCAATAATCCACTGGCTTGATCTGATTCTACCTCTGTATTCTGCCAGTAACATTAGACAACTTACTTGTCTGTGCCTCAGTTTCCTCACTTATAAAGTTAAGATCTAATGAAGACATTCTTTGCAGGCCAGCAGGTGGCGTGGTGGTTAAGGACACTGGATTCCCATATGTCTGACTGTGGTTCAAGTCCTGGACCTGGTTGCTTGCTTTCTCCCTCTCCCTTTCTCTGTTTCTCTGTCTCTCTGTCTCTCTCTCATCAGATTAAATTATAATAAGTGGAATTAAGATAAATAAATCATTTTTTTTAAAAGAAGACATTCCTTGCTACCCTCAGAGTGTAGGAGAGCATTTTTAAAATGCAGAACAGTGTACGGATTTAAGACATTAACTTTGTATCAAAACAAAGCTCAGATGAATATCTTTTTATAACAGTTTCTGCATTCTATGAAAAGAAAAATATGAAAAATAACTAGATAGGACAAATATATGCAAAATAGCAAATTCCATACTACATCACAGGATCAATATTCAACCAGTCTCCTTTGCCTTCTGTATTTATTATAGTGTTTGGTAATGATTGATTTTTTATAATGAATCTGAAGTCTTTCAAGATGCTAACAGGGTTTCTGAATCACTGAAGACTGATAAAATTAGATTCTCTGTAATTTTACTCTTAAGCCTGTTTTGTTATAGTCGCTTTCTTGAAAAATCCATGGATAATGTTTTCTGTTAACATTCTACTATCTGAAACATTCGATTAAGATTTCACTTCTAGACAAGATTTTTCTATAACATATTTCATTCCTATATCAAGCCACTTTAATTCCTAGAACTCAATTTTCCTACTATCTATTAAAGTACTGACATAGCTTATTTCTTCTTATCATTCTATATTACTTCCAAGTATAGAACTGGTAAATGTAAGATCAAATAAGTCTTTATGTTATCAAAGAAACTTTTTACTTTGTTAAATACTTCTTGGCTTTCTAAACCCAGTGTGGTAATTTGTAGATGAAAGTCTTTGATCCCGAATTTTGTTCCTATATATATATTTTTTTTTTCTTTCCAGAGGGAGTGTGCCCTTGCCAGAGAGAGACAGATAGACAGAGAAAGCCAGACAGACAGAGGGAGAGAGGAAGAAAGCACCCCCTGTGGGGCATGTCCACAACACAGTCCCTTTTCCTCCATTTCTCTATCCTGTTGGGATTTGGGATATGCATACATATGTGCCTGGTATGTTTCCGAAGCTCCTGGGTCCAGGACTCAAACCACAGGGATGGCTATGCAGGATCCAGCAGCCTTAACTATCAGGCGATGGAGCTGGGCAGTTTTGTTATCTCCAAAATAAAGCGAAGAATCTGAATGGTACAATGATATTGCTAATAATGGTGAAATAGCCAGGCCAGTCACTTACTTGGTTTTAAATTTTGCAGCATCTTAGCATGGCTTCATCATTTTCATTTCTGCAAGGTTTTATTATATTCATTTATTCTTTTTTTTTTAATAGGTAACCTTGAGAGTAATTCTAAAAGGGTAAAAATGCATGAATATTAAATACATAAATGAACAGACTGTTACTTCAGGAGTGTAGTTTTTTAGTGTTTTTTTGTTTTTTGTTTTTTGGGTTTTTTTAAGGAGATGTTTTTAAATTTCTTCCTGTGTTTAGGTCTATTACAATGGCTACCACGGAGACACCTCTGAGACGTTTTTGGTGGGCAACGTGGATGAGTGTGGTAAGAAGTTAGTGGAGGTTGCCAGGAGGTGTAGAGATGATGCAATTGCAGCTTGCAGAGCAGGGGCTCCCTTCTCTGTAATTGGAAACACAATCAGGTAAGCCTTACACTGACAAGTAAAGGGAGGGTTGGCAAATGGGACAAAGGTTATTGGTGGCTTGGTATAAAGTTGATGACACGTTTTATGATTCTGAACCATCATTTCAGTCTGATATCCGTATGTGAACTGCCAGACTGTGATGTCGTTCCTGGGGTTGAAAAAAAAAAAATTCAGGTTTTTAAAAAGTGAATTATGCTAGGGTCAGCAAAGAAACTTACAGGAGCAGCAAGCAATATTTATATGACTCCTTTTGTTTTACCTTGACACCATGGTCTGTAGTGTTCCATTCCTCAAAAATCTCACCAAACATGCAAAAGAGTACCTAAGAAAGGGAAGAGCATCCCAACCCAATGCTAATGAGACAGGAGAAAAGCTAAATTCCTTAAAGGAATGAAGTGAAATGGATTCCCAAGATACAAAGAAAACCAGCATCAGTTTCCGCAAACCTCACCTTCTGAATTAGATCAGCAAATGGAAAGGGTGATCTTCTGTTTTTGTTTTTGTTTGGTTGATTCACTTTTTTCCGTAAACCATTGTTTATTTGCCCCACGCTATTCTATGCTTGCTTTTGAGTGTATGTGTATTTTCTGAATTCAGGACTTTTCTTTGTAATCTGTTACCCACTTAGGTCTTTCTTCCCCCATAACAGTTTTGAAGTAGACATGCAGAATATGTGTTTTCACTTAAAAGTAACGCATTTTGTTAAAGATGATCACATCAGTACCCTTTAAAGTGCCGTTCTCATTAATATGAACTATTGAGCCCTTCCCATTTGTCTAAAGGATGGAAGGCTTAGTCACCTTGAAAAGATGCTGCCTTTTTTCTTCGTAAGCCTTCAAGTACTTTAAGAAAAAAGGCAGTAAAATATCAGTTAAATGTATTTATGGCTTTAAAAATATTGTAACAGTGTCTGAATCAAACTTTAGTAAAATCTCTTTGGGTTATATCTGAGAAGCTTTTATTGAAGACTTTGAACAAAATTGTGTTTTTGACAGTTTTAAATTATAGGCTAACTAGCCTGGGAAAAAAGGATAGTGTCTCTCTGTTCTTTCATAGGAAATGTTGAATCAGACCCCTACTGGGAAAAGAAATTTAATGCATATCTCACTATCTTACTGTCCATGAATATAATAGAAATGAATTCAAAATGCAGTTTTATTTTTGCAAATGGGATGAGTCGATAGATGCACCTCATATTTTTGAACACCTAGGGTTCAACAAATTTACTGGTGGTGCTCTTGCATTTTAACAAAATTTATTCTTCAGTCGAAGGGGGCAGAGAACACTAGATTCTTATTCAAGCATTCTATCGAGCTCTGCATTCATGGCTGTGTCTAAAGGGCATGTCAGCCTTTGATTCTCTCTGAGAGGTAATTATCCTTTTCCTGTCACGGAACAACAAATGATAGCTAACTACAGAGGCACATTTGCAGTAGTCACATTCATCAACTGCAGAAAAAAAAATTCAATTTAATTGTGCAACACAGCTGCACATGGGCTTTTGAGCATTTCTGTTGTTCTCCCTGTCTCGCTATTCCTCCCTCCAGATCTATTTTTTAAACTTTTTTTTCTGGTTATTTTTTCCCCTTTTTGTCTCTTCTTCCATTTTTACTCTCTGTACTTTCTTGTTAAAGTAATTTTCCTTTGTGGCTCTCATTCTTTTTTCCCCATTGAAGGCTATGAATGTAGAAAATTATCACAATTACTCATATAATTGAGCCTCTTTGTAGCAAGTGCAACTCCAGTAGCCTTTCTCCATCATGAAAATGGTTTCATTATAGGGTTTTTCATATTCTCTGACACCATCTACACAGAGGAGCAGGCGTGCAGATGAGATGTACTAGGAACAGGCTAGATCAGTAAGGTCACAGTAGGAATAATTAGCTCTGCTATGGAAAGAGCATCTAGGCCTTTTACTGCTACATAAATGTACTGTCCGTGGCTTTTAGTCACAAAAAAAACTTACTAACAAATGGAGCTCCCGCCTACTACTTTGAAAAAAAGATTTGTATCAACACTACAATTTTCCATCATTAAGACTAATAACACAGAGCCTCGTATACATCAAGGGGAATAAAAAGAAAAATCTCACATTCAAGTGGCGGCTGGGTGCTGACCTTTGTTCCCTTTTTTTGTGTACGACTTAACTCTTTACAAAAAAGAGCCACACGCCACACCAACATGCAGGTGAACTCCAGCTAGTACTAGCAAAGCATAGCATTCAGTCGGAAAATCTGATAAATCTCCATGCAGGATAATGCATTTCATTACATATTCACTACATTAATTCTAGCTACATAAAAAAAAAAAATGAAGGAAGGAAAAGAATAGAATTGAAAGTGACATTGGATTTTAGCTGTCTGGATGCAAAGGTCAGTTTTTGCAGAGTATGAATTTGCATGTGCAAGCTCCTTTGAAAAGCAGTTCAGTCCCAACAACTGCACTTACAAAACTATGTCGAAAATAACAGACAATGAACTTTTTCCTTTTACCCTAATACATTTCATTATTTAGATGGTTTATGTCTGCCGCTGAGGAGGAAACTGGCCCTGAATTCTAACAAATGCTTATTCTGATGTGTTAAAGCAGTGTTCCTGGACATCTGTTATTTCGCCTTCTCTTATTCAGGCGAAATCTTAAGGGAGTAAATAAACAAATGGTATCTACCTTTAAGCGAACACTGCTTGAAATCATTACAGACCAAAGGTTTACAAACATCTTTCAACTTGCTCTGGTTTATTGTAAAGATACTCACATCTTTTGCATAGCCTCCCTCTACTGATACACTATGAAAAAAGAACACTCAAGCATCTTGTTTGTATTATGTCATCTTTAGGTCATAATGTTATACTCACTATACCGCCATTTGCTTTAAAATATTTCTAAATCTGTATTTGTGTAATTATCTCCAGAGTATATGGTCTGTACATATGTGTATATGGGGAATATGTAGATTCATGCATCGCAAATGTGTGACAGTTCAATCGAATATAATATAAACTAACAGTTGTTAATGACATGATGAAAGTATCAATACATGGTTTTTAATGTTTAATTCATAAGTATATGTTTTGATATTAATTTAGAACAATATAAAGCAGATTTTTAAAAAATAATCTCCTTCTATTAGATTATGCACATTTAAACAATAAGTGGCTCAGGCAAAATAAGTCATTTTAATGTCATCTGTGATGGATTTTTCTTGACAGCTACTGTAAATTACAATTACACTGCTTCTCTCTGCACACGAAATAAGCATTGCAATAAATTATCTTTTATTTCAATCCATCATGTCTGCTTTTCAGAAACAGAAAACCTCAAATAAAAGTTGAGCACTATTGTAAGAAAAACACAGTAATTTGTGATCCAGTTTGAAACAAAAAAAAAATGTTCAACTCTTTTGGAAAACAGTTGTTGGCTTTCCAAAAATCTTACTAATCGTACTTAAACATTCCTCATCATTAAGAGGAATCCCTGGACTTGTGCATTTCTCCATTCAAAGATGACTGCTTAAAATAAGTATCTGGGAAGTCTAAAGTAAAATTTCATAACTTATAAAGTCAGGTGCCATTTGAGACCCCTTCTTAGAGACATGACCACTTGGAGATAAGAGTTCTTTATAGCATTCGTGGAAAAATGATAATAAAACTACTTCCATGTGCATTTTGATTTCTTTATAAGAGCATGTGCTTAAACATAGTACTCCTCTGCCCTCTTGGGGAATGTATTTTTAGTCATCCAAAGTAGTTGAAATGTATTAAGAAATTTCATTTATCTAGACCACACTTTAATTGAGTACAGCTGCCTCATGATAAGGGCTTAAAGTGAGGAAAATGGTCACAAGATGAAACTCCTTCAAAGATATTTCTCATACAACTAGAAACTCTAACCGAAACATGAACCATAATAGTACAGTGTGACTGAAAAGTAAGCTCATAAACTACCTTTATACATAACTTCTTCCTCCTCTCCTCCAGACATTCCACATGAAGGACTTCCAGTCCTAAATGTGCTTGGGCTCATGGGTGGGTGGCATACTCTCTGAAAAGATTTTTATCAACAGTTAAGAGAAAGTCAAAACACAAGAGCGAATACCTGGAGGGTTCTTTTCAGTAGATTTCAGCAAAGAGAAGGCAGATTTCATAGTAAAATATCCAGAGCAAGAATACTCCTGTGTTCAGAAATGGTCATGGGCCTGCAGGGGCTGGTGCAGAGAGCGACTGCATGCTCCTTGGACACTCCTGCCCGCCCTGCGTTGCCTTCCCCAGTGCACCGCCTTCCCGTGCCACAGTTGAGGCTACCAGCACTTGCTTCCGTGTCAGAGGAATGGAGTATGGGACTACCAGTCACTTGGATTGTCTATTAAACCCTACAATCAGGTAATTTTGCACTCCCTGCATATCCCAAAATAGAAAGGGCATGCTTTTACACAGTGTTTAAGAACATTAATGAGATTTTTATCCCATTTCGTCCCAGTAAGCATGTGTTAAACACTACCTACCAGTCCAAAGGGACGATATCCTGAACAGCAGACAGAAGGATCTACTTAGCTCCTGGGAATTGAGCATTGCAGTGGATGCTCAACCAAGGAACTGGGAGATTTGTCCTGCACTTTTGCTCTTTCCATCCGGCTGTGAAATCCTCTAACCTTTGCGTCCATGACGCGGTTTCTGTGATCCGCCTATAGCCAGAAGTTCCAGCAGGACTTGGAGTAAATTGTTGTAGGAGAATGCACTCAGATATCTTTAGCTACCTAGTAATTGCCCAGCTTCTTTTATGAAGAGGAATGAGAGGTATGATAGAGGGAGGGACCCCAAGTGTTTTTTCAGAGCAGGCTTTCTTCTTTTCCTCTCATCGGAAATTAAAATGAAGATGGCCATTGTAACACACATTTAAGATGTAGCTGTGATGTCTGCCAATCAGTTGCATCCTTTAAAAGAAAAAAAAAACTAGATTTTTTTTTAAGAGAAAAGAAATTGAAGCATAGTTTATACAGAATGCTCTTAGAATTATGAGGTTTATTGGGACTGAAATAACAAAATTTACAGGTTTAGGTTGGAAAACATTCTTGTTAAAAATAAAATAATCTATATTATTAGCTTTTTAAAATAATCCTTCTTCCATCGTCCACATTCAGTATCTGTTCAGAAATGTTGTGGTACAAATAGAAACATCTTGGAAAAGATGTTAAACCTCCTGCCAAATTGTAAAGACCCACAGAAATAACCATCACCGTAAAATACAATTTAAGGGGTAAAAACTTCAACATGTTATTCCTGTCCTCAAAATATGCATAACTTACATATTTCTGCACTATTGGTTGAAGTGAAATTAAATCTGAATGAGAGGCTGCCCATGTGCCGGGTATAGTCACTTTCTAGTCTAAGTGAAGCTATCTTACAAATCTGGAGATGGTTGAAAATGTTTAGAAAAAATAATATAGATACAAATGCCCATACAGATGCTGGTTAAGAGCCTCTGAGTTCATGTGGAAGTAAACCTAGGGCCTGTCGGAAACTCTAGTTTGAAATCTAAAAACACTCTTTGTTTCTAGGAATTCTAATAGTAACCTTGTAAATGCCCATCCATTGTTAGGGTTAGGGGCACTGTGCCCTTTGCTCACATGACAACATAAATCGTTAATTGTACATAGGTTCTTGTCTGTATGATGCTCCCAGAAAATAAACATGTTCACCAGATGTCAACAACTTTCAACCTTGTAGGTGGTCCTTTTAGGGCTACCATCTATTAGATTTCACTTGTATAGGATAGATAGGACCCACAGCGTTTGCATACTGAAGTAACTAATAAAGCATTAGAAATCAAAAATCACAATACTGCCTCTTCCTAAGTGTCATAGTTAGTAAAAAATAAAAAAGAAAAGAAAAGAAAAGAAAAGAAAAAAAACTTATTTTGTTAATGAGAGGAACTTCTAAATGATCACAAAGTTTTAGAGGACAAAGCAGATTTCACATGTGTGCATGCCCGTGTAGAACACGTTTAACATTTTTTAAATAGACCAGGATGAAGACAATCATGGAAGTAGAAAGACCTATTTCTACAATAGATCATAATATGTTATTCTGGTTCCCAAATGAGTGGTAGTTTGCGCTTTTTGTGAAATCCCATTTTAAAAAAAGGCATGTATTTGTGACCTGTCTTACATGCACATATCTTGGTTATTGATCTCAATCTGTATGTGTATATGCACACACATTTATTGTCTGAAAGTGCCCTTGTTTGAGTACTGCACTAAGATGACTTGAACCACTGTGTCAGTCACGTACCTTCCTCATGTACCCAAAGTAACATATATTACAAGACACAACTAAAATGAAACTTATTTGGAATAATGAAAACATATTAATATAATCATCTGACTCTCAGTATAACTTTTTGTTTTCTTTTTCAGAGACTAATTTAAGGTGATTTTGTTTAATCTTAGTATGCATTAAAAATTTACCTAATTTAATTAAATATTTTTGGGTCATTTTCAAAGCCGCATAACTTCTCAGCATGGTTTGCAAGTCTGTCCACACTTTGTGGGGCATGGAATAGGATCTTATTTTCATGGACATCCAGAAATTTGGCATCATGGTAAGAAAATTAATTTGAAACCTGTTTGTTGAACAGAATCAGGATAACTCAGGCACTTTTGTTTCTGAAACTCTTTCTCTTAACTTTGAATCCACATTCTCTCTCTCTCTCCCTCTCTGAAGGGGCAGCTACTTATACAGCACATTACTATGTCACTGGATTAGAAACTAAGAAGTTTAGTCTATAATAAAGTTTATTAATTTTTATTTTATTTTATTTTATTTCATTTTATTTCATTTTATTTTATTTTTTGCCTCCCAAAAGGAGCACGACTGGAAGGCACAAGGGATATTTGTCTAGAAAAAGTTACTGAAAGCAAAATGCCACTGCGTCAGTGTCCCAGCAGTAACCACTGACTGTTGTGGTTAACTCCATTACACCCTCCACAGCGTTGACAGCTGACGCATCTAGCAGCATGTGCTCTGTACTGCTTTCTAGATGATACCCAGCCCGTGTTTCTCACTGCCTGGGTGTGCGCCCTTACAGTGAGAAGGCAGGGCTGGGCCTGAAGGAGTGGGGAGATTTGGGTATAGGTAGGAAACAGCTCTACAGAGTACCCTCAAGGACAGGGACCAAAAGAAAGTTGGTCCTGGGACCTTGATCTGTGCACTGGAAGTGAGATCTGCCTGGAACCAACTTCCTAAAGGATCCTTAGAAATCCAGCTGGTCAGAACCCCCTTCAGGGCAAAGAGTGCCACCTGAAGCAGCTCCGATGCTATCTGAGTGAGCGTGCAACAGAGCCTGTCAGCCTGGTGCCACATTCAGTGTCATTGCCTGGAGTTATTAAAGTTGGAGACCACAACCTGCACCCCCGTGGGCTACCCTCCCTTTGCATTCTTTCTTTTTGGGGTAAAGGGGCGGGAACAGACCCCGGACCCAGTAAGGCCTGCAGCAGTTGGTCTGGGGGACAGTCTGGAGAGGGAGTGGGAAAGATGTCTAAAACACTCAGGCCGTCCCTGCCAGGCCTTGGCAAACTTCTGGGGGGGCTTGACCCAGAGCCCAGGTAATGTAAAGACAGGCCCAGGAGCCCTGTATTTGACAGGACTCCAGAAGCTACCATCCTTCCTTCTCCCCTAAAAGAAAAGAAAGGGAGGAAATGACCCTAATTCTGTGTCTCTGTGTCCTGCCCATTTCCTATTCTCATTCCTCCTATGTTTTTTGTTTGCAGAGAATGACAATGACCTTCTCATGGAGGAGGGCATGGCGTTCACTATAGGTAAATGCTGGTGTTCCTCTTGGGTAGCTCTGGGCAGAAGTTGTGGCGCTGGCCGAAGCCCGGCAGTCCGGTGAAGGAGTAATAATGCCAATCAGTGTAATGAAATAATTCGGATACATAGTAAATCTGATTAAATAATGTGCTGGAGCCCCATCTTCCTAAATCAGATACTTATCGACACATTTAGGAAACGGCAGCGGGCCAACCTCTAATTCTGTTACCAACATAATGTGGTGTTTGGGGTTTTTGTTTTGTTTTGTTTTGCTTTGTTTTTTCATTAACACCCAGTAACTAGAGGTGATTATGTCCCTTGCTTCTTGTCAGTTAGTGGCTTGTGCTCTCTGGCAGCCCATTTCGGGCTGATTTGTGATTGGTGTCACCACCGAAGCCCAATCACCTGGGGCCACGAAGGCATCATATTTCTGACTGTGGGACTTAATGGAGAAGCAATTAGAGTGAAATAAGAAAATTGTTATTTGCTGATTAATGAACATTTTGAGCATGTTTTTAAAATTCAAATATTTTTAAAAACTGGCTGGTATTTATAAGAGGGACTGGTGTTTGGGTGGTTATTATCCACGGGGTCCTAATTAAGGCTTGATTAAAATGCCCTTGTTTTTCTAAAAAAAAAATATGAACTAGACAACTTCATACGTTTTTTAATGCCATAGCGTCTTCTCTTCCTACTGTTTAGTTCGTCTTATACTATGTAAGCAACGTCAATTATCAGCCCTTGCAAGATGACAACATGAACCCGTGGAGGAAGCCCTTGAGGGGAGGGGAGGAGAACCTTCTTATTCTCTTTTTTGATAATCAGCCGAAACTGTGTTTGACAAGAATCTGATGAGGTCACTGCAGTAAATATTTTCCCTCTTACAGAGCCAATCATCACCGAGGGATCCCCTGAATTTAAAGTCCTGGAGGATGCTTGGACAGTGGTCTCCTTAGACAATCGAAGGTGTTCGCTTTCCGCGCTGTCGCCTTTAAATTGTTTGGGCAGGGGAGACGAGTCCGCCAGCGCCAGGAGCTGGTGCGTGCGGCCCCGGCTCCTGACGTGCTTCCTGACGGCTTCGATGTGTGTTTCAGGTCCGCCCAGTTCGAGCACACAGTTCTCATCACGTCGAGGGGTGCGCAGATCCTGACCAAACTGCCGCACGAACCCTGAGGAGCGGCCCCAGGTCGCGGAGGCCCGGCGCCTTTTATCTGAATAGCGGAGGTCCAGCTAAAGAACTTTTAGAAGGAGCTGGGGAACCGGGTCGTGCAGGAACCGCTCCGGCGCCCAGTAGCGACTTGGGAAAACGCTGTGGGGCTTGGGGGCAGTTGGGGAATCAGATCTGAAGCCGGGAGATGTCTGGCAGCTTCCGAATGATGAACCCTGGCTCCAGGCTCGGCTTCCTAGCGCGGGAATCTCCCGCATCTGGAGAATGGGGACGCCCTCGTTTGGGACACCGGGGATTCCAGAAGCACGGTTTTCTCTTGCCCTTGTCACGAGTAAAAACCTCAAATCCATGGTGTTTGCACTCCTTACGTTTCTGACGGTTACCGCGGGCATAGAGTGGGTGGGTAATTTTTGTCTCTGAACTTTTTACACGGGAGCTCAGGAAGAAAAGCCCGCTGTCAGCTGCAAATTTTAAATGTTTTTCCCCTTGTGGATTTCACACACTGGTCTGACGGAGGGCGTCCGCCGGGACCAGCACCTGCCCTGCCCCCCAGGACTTCCGCTTCTTTTACCCTCATTGCAGCTTTAAGATGAAAAGATTAGCCTTCGAATAGAGGCATCGATTACAAACATGTCCTTGGCTGTGAACCCCGGGTCTGGCGCTTCTGCTGGTTTTTTTTTTGTTTTGTTTTCCTTACCAGAAACGCGACTTTCCTGGTCCCTTGAGGCTCTGCCTTCCCCGACCGGCATCCTCTGAGGCCATGCCAGAGGTTAACTTTACACACACACACACACACACACACACACACACGCTACATCATTTGTTGCACTAGGAATTCGGTCTTGGCCCTCCCCTCCCAGATGGTAACAGTGCCTGCGGGGTGAGCCGGTCGCCTAGTCCCTAAACTGACCCCTTTCCTGGCTGGCCCTCTTCAGACCCACCTCACGCTGCAGCAGTCACGAAAGTGTTCTGGAGACTTAGAGGATCTGAGGAGAGCAAGGGCCCCGCTGACCCGAGAGAGAGCCAGGGTCGGCCGGTCAGCAGCTTCAACCCGCTTGCGGAGCAGGAATCCGAGGATTCGACTGTCTCCCAGGGCCCATTCCTGCCCGGAACACCGTCCCTTCCCTTGTGCTTGAGGTCCAGGACTTGTTCACACCCGTCCTCGAAGGTGGGGAAGAACTGGGCCTGAAGCAATCCAGGAAGAAAGCCGTCCCCTCGGAGGGAGTCCAGTGAGGAGTCTGGCTGTCAGCACTGAACTCTGCTAAATATAGTTTGGGCTCCAGAGAGGCCAAGGACATGCGGGCACCTGTAGTCGCCACAACAGGTGGCTTCGGTGTTCCCAGTAGCTGGTTGAGAACCAGCTTGCTCTGTGACTCTCAGGGTGGTGGGGAAGGAGAAGGGAACGGGACAATGAGCAACTCAGAAGGGCAATGAGTTCCACCTCTTCCATCAGCTGGGATTTCCAGGAGTCCCCCAGTCCCCAGCTTGGTTTCTCTGCATCCCAGAGATGTAAGCTTTCGGATAGAAATGATTCAGTTCTGTTGGATCTGAGAGCTGAAAAAGAATAGGGAGGAGTTGAGGATTTACAGGGTCTGTAGAAAAACTTTTGACATGCTGGGGAGCCGGCCACGCAGAGGCCCAGAGACAGGCTGCTACCCAGAACAATCCAGATTCCCTACAGAACAGGGCCCAGCTGGCCTTGGGAGAAATTTGCCAGGGAATGACTTCACTTCTTTCCTAGAGCAATCGGATTTCAACGATTAGTGCCTTATCTTATCTGCGGATCAGGATCAGTTTACTCAGAGGTTCCCCAAGGATAGTGTTATTAGGACCACAGGATTTTACCAACCACTGGGGTAACATGCTGTTGTGCAGCAATTATTTTGAGGTTGAGGTATTTATGGGACAGGTTTATAATCCCATTTATTAAAGCAACTAACTGAAAGTGTGTGTGTGTATGTGTGTGTGTGTGTGTATATATATATATTCCAATACTGCCAATGCTAAGGAGCGCCATTAGAAACAAACTTGAATTAACAAACGAACCTCATTTAATATGCTTTGAAACAGGTTAGGAAGTAGATTGAAACACACCTCCTGAATGCCTCTCCACCCCTCTGCCAGCTGAGCCGGTCCCACACCTCCCGGAGCCTTCAAGATTCTAGCCTAGTGCTGCTATGGCTAACATGACCAGTGCCACCCAGTCCGTGAGTGACCCCAATAGGTCCTACTGAGAATCCGAGACCCCTGACAGTTTTGTTTCGTCTTAGAGTTGGGACCAGCAGAGATCTAAGTAAACCGGCATTTCAAAACAGGTGTCGCTTTAGCGCTCTAGCGAGGAGGGTGGGAGGGACCCACTCCAAGATCCTAGAATAGAGATAAGATCGCACACTGAGACGCTATCCCTGGCGCGGCTGGGCCTGAGGGCTCTGGCTCAGAGCCCCTCTCCAGAACCACTTTCTCCACGACGTGAAATAATTCTGGAGTTTAGATACTCCCTGACCCATATACAATTTACTTCTAAATTAAGCAAGAATCTGAAACCCTGTTCGGAGGGGGCTAGACCTTTGTTCTCGAGAGCCAGCCTGGTCCCCTGCGCCACGAAAGTCTTCCCTCCTTTTGCAGAGGCGAAGGGACAGAGCACCCCGGATACTGCCATTACCAGCGGCGGTTTCAGTCCCCTTCCCCCATTCTGCAATTCTCTGAATATACTGGCCCCAGGCGGCTTCTACCGTCGGGTTTCCTCTTGCCTTGCCCTTAGCTCCGGAAATCAGCAGTCCCTCTTTCCCGGGTCCCAACCCCGACCCCGTCAGCTGTGGCGATCACTTACGTGGGCCCCCACGGCAGGCGTGAGAGACCTGGGGCCTGGGCGACATCCGAGCTGCAGTGCTGGGTGCAGGGCTAGGCACTCCACACCCCAAAACAGGCGCTAGGAAGGAGCAATTAAAACCACAAGTGCGACTCAGAAATCACGACGAGCCGATCGGCTCCAGGAGTTGTCTGGTGGCGGAGTCATTAGCTGGTTGTTGCTACAAAGCCTCACCGTGTGGTTCGGTGATTAAGGGAGAAAAAAAAAATCTCTTTAACGTTGGCAACCCCGTTATTGGTTTGGAGGATTGTGGGGTTTTTGTTGTTGTTTTGCTTTTGTTTTTCTCTTTGCTCCAACCACGCTGCCTGAAATATTTCTACCCCCAGCATCGTGCCCTTAAACCAAAGGAGAGGAATTCCGCGGGCAGCAGCAGCTGCTACAGAAGTTACAAAAGAGAGAACCCCCCTCTGCTAATATCTGTAACGGCAGCACTGCTGTAATTTGTTTTGAATGTTCATTTTTATTGGTGTTCCCTCTGCCAAAATGTGCTTGATTACAGAGGTTTGTCCTGTGATCATTGCATACTCCAGACAGGGAAAGGTGCAACGGCGAAGGTTCAGCTCAGGCCAGATCAAATCCCGGGCTGTTTAACGCTGAAAGGCTGCATGTTGCTATTAGTGTTAAATATATGGCTAATTATGCGTATGAAAATTAAACATCAGTGTTATGCTAATGGGGCGCCTTCAGCTGCGGATCTGAGCACTTGAGACTACCATTTAATCAAATGAATCAGTAACTAATACATCTGCACGTGTGAACTTTCACAAGATCATTTCCCTGTTCCCGTCACACCGCTAAATTATGAAAGAAATAATTATCAACACTTTCTAATTACCTAACAAAGTAATTTGGGATTCACCGTGGGGCTGGCGGGACAGGGAACCAACAGCCCCTAACAGCCAGCACGGCATGCGCCACGCCGCACGGGGGTGGCTGTGTGTCAGTGCAGGGAGGGGGGCTTTGTGCTCTTTACCTAACCTAGCACCCCAGAAGATAGCGCCGTGGCAGCTCCTGCTTCCACCAGCCCTGCCCCCGCCAGGGCCATAGCGCCCGCCTTAGCCACTGGAGGTGAGGAAGATACTGGACGACAATGAGAGAGATGTCTACACACACAGAAGCGAGCCTACCACAGGACTGGGTTTGCCGCGGGTTTCGGCGTCCCCCAGGAACGCCTAAACCCACGGGTACTCTCGCCAGACCCCAGGAGGCCGGGAAATGACCACCTAGCTTCCCGGGCTCAAGAACTGAGCCTCTGGCCCCTCGGCTCCACGCTGCGCCGCTCCCTCGGGGCTAGTGAGCCCGGGGCGCACCGCGCGGAGGGAGTGGAGAGGGGAGGGGGAGGCGGAGGAAGGTTGGGAGGAAAAGAGGGTGTGTGCCTCGGGGAGGGGGCGGTGCGGCCGCCTTTCCTGGGAGGAGAAGCGCGGGATCCTGGCTCTCCACGCGCACTGCTTTAATCAGACCCGTGCAGCCTGAAGCTGGCCAGCAGGCCTGGAGCAATGCGAGCGGGCCCCAGGGAGCGGCGGCGGCGGCGGCGCGGCGGCCGAGTGGCTGAGTTCCGGGGGAAGGCCCTCAAACCCCGACCCCAGCAATGTGGCAGAGCGGACCCTGGTCAGTGAGGCGCAACCAAAGGGCATTGCGTTAGGCGCAAGGCGCTCGCGAGTAACGCTATCATTGGCCGCTGTCGGCGCCCCCAGTGCGTGAATCCGCGTTCCAGAGGCCGCCGCCAGGCTTCAAAGACGCCCTTATTCAGCGCGCGTCTGGGTGGCGGCGACTAGAAGTGGTTCTGCGTCTCTGGCGTTGGAAGCCGACGAAGGGTGGGTTTCGTAGGGGGGGAGAGTGAAGACAGGGGGAAGGGGAGGACAGCGGTGGGGAGGGCTGTGGCGCGGAGCCGCTGGTTGATTTCGAGGGAGGAACGCACTCGAGGGAGGCGGGAGGCTGAAGAGCTACCGGCCGCAGAGGTCCGGCGCGGACCTCACAGCCCATTGTGCGTTCCGCGCTGCGCGCTCTGTTGCAGAGGAACCCCGGCCTGGGAAGGTGGACGCGTCTCTCCCGAGGCCCGGCCGCCGCGTGTGCTCTAGTCCAGCGGAGTCGGAGCGCCTCGGACCAATCCCCGGTGATTATGCAAGACAGCGGACCAATCAGCTCCGCCAGCTCATGAATATTTATGACCTTGGCTGAGTCAAAGCTTTGAACCGAGTTTGGGGAGCTCAGCAGCATCATGCTTAGACTTTTCAAAGAGACAAACTCCATTTTCTTATGAATGGAAAGTGAAAACCCCTGTCCGCTTAAATTGGGTTCCTTCCTGTCCTAAGAAACATAGAGACCCCCAAAAGGAAAGCAGAGGAGAGAAAGACCCACACCCAGACCCCGCGAGAAGAGATGACCATGACCACCATGCCAGAAAGTCTCAACAGCCCCGTGTCGGGCAAGGCGGTGTTTATGGAGTTTGGGCCGCCCAACCAGCAAATGTCTCCTTCTCCCATGTCCCACGGGCACTACTCTATGCACTGTTTACACTCGGCGGGCCATTCGCAGCCCGACGGCGCCTACAGCTCGGCCTCGTCCTTCTCCCGACCGCTGGGCTACCCCTACGTCAACTCGGTCAGCAGCCACGCGTCCAGCCCCTACATCAGTTCGGTGCAGTCCTACCCGGGCAGCGCCAGCCTCGCCCAGAGCCGCCTAGAGGACCCAGGTACGTGCATTTGCCAAGGAGAGGGAGAGGGAGAGGAGGAGGTACTAGGGTGAGAGGCAGAGAGAGGGAAAGAAGGAGAGGGGGAGAAGAGAGGGGGGAGAAGAGAAGAGAGGGGGAGGGAGGGAGACAGAAGAGGAGAGAGAGTAGAGACTGTTAATGGGTCAATCTATGAATCCTTGTCACAGCAAAAGAAAAAAAAATTAAATCTACCCAATTCACAACTATCCAGCAAAGGATAAATCCGAGAGGGTCTCCTGGCACTGGCTGGGCCTCTGGGCTGCTCGGTGTGCGCCAAGCACACAATGCCCCTCTGGAAAACAGAAACCCACATGTGCACGTATTAGTCTCGGTAATTATTTATTGCGTAGTGCTATAAACAATGTATGCAATTAAGGGTAATTAAACTTCAACTACCGCCTGCAAAAATAGCAAACTTTCCCTGCACAGGCAGGAGTTGCTCTCCTGGAAACGGCCCCATCCCGCCTGCAGCGGCCCTGCTGGGCCCACGGACTTTGGGGGACCCTTTCCTGGCTTTCAGAGTTTCCTGAACGTTCTCTCCCTGGCCCTGTGTGAGCCACCCCTTGGTAGCCACTCGCTCTGGGCTCTCCACACTAAAAGCAGCCCCCGCGTTAACAACAGCACCCACTTCTGCTGTCCCTCCAGGGGCTGACTCCGAGAAGAGCACGGTGGTGGAAGGCGGTGAAGTGCGCTTCAATGGCAAGGGGAAAAAGATCCGCAAACCCAGGACGATTTATTCCAGTTTGCAGTTGCAGGCTTTGAACCGGAGGTTCCAGCAAACTCAGTACCTAGCTCTGCCCGAGAGGGCGGAGCTCGCGGCCTCCTTGGGACTCACGCAAACGCAGGTACCTCGCCGCTGCCTTCAGTCAAACTGGCTTCCCGTGGCCGGCCTGCGCCCTAGGCTTCGTTTCTTGCTTACTAGGGTCGGGGTGTCAGATTGTGTGCATGCGTGCGTGCGTGTGTGTGTGTGTGTGTGTGTGTGTGTCTGCCCTTCTGTCTGTCTTTGTCTTCCCTGGCTCCTAGCATTTCTCCTTCCTTCTTCATGCTCCCTGGTGGAGCTCTCCCTCTCCTCTCTCTACCCGGTGCTGCCTGCGTTTGGCCCTCCATTCCCGGACATTTCTATTAAGGGGCCGGAAGGATCTCCCCAGATGTTTCGTTCGAACACTCTGAGGTCACACGTGCCCGAACAACTAAAACAATAGACTCTGGGCTTAATCCCGCCTTTGCCTTTAAAATGTGTGGCTAGTCTCTCCGGCCTGGACCGCCGCCTGGGTTTTCTTCCTCCATGTCTTGTCTGGGGTAAGGGTGGGGGGATCCTTTCCTCGCCCTCTCACCGGCTAAATCCCTGACACTGACTGTAGATGAAGCCAGACTCCTTCCCTCCTCCCCCGGATTTCTCCAAGACTCCGGGATGCCCCTGGACATTCTGATCTCGGCTGGTGCGGGTTTCTAACGTCCAGTCCGGGATTTGGAGCAGAGCTGGGGAAAACAAACAGAGCCTAAGACCCTAGGGAAAGATTGGTTTGAGTCCAAAGGAACGTTAAAATCTTACGAGTCTCCTCAAGTCGGTCTCCACCTCACTCAAGAGCAGAAAGTGGCGCAAAAGGAGGACGGATCGCACTGCAAATAAATTTCCTCCACTCCTTCCTTAGGTTTTCTATTTTTTTTTATTGATGTTAATATTGGGATGGTTGGCTCAGTGCTGAGCAGACGTTGCATCTTTCACAGATGGTAGCCAGGGTCCGGTTGAGCCCCTGGCAGCGAAGGGCTGGATCCCCGCGAGCCCCTCACCACCACGTCTCAACCCTGGGTCTCTGGGAGCTGACTCTGCGGCTCACTGGCTCTGAGCGGTCCAGTCTTGGGCTACAGGCTCTCTGCTTCTGCGGCAGAGAGCTGCCAGGTTGCGCAGGGCAGCGGGTGATGGTATTTCTGCTGGTCCCCGATATCCTTCTTTATTTCCCCGATACCAAAATAGAGTCACAGGTCCCAGTCGGAGTCACGCTGTTGTCTGGTTTTGCAGGTCAAGATCTGGTTCCAGAACAAGCGCTCCAAGTTCAAGAAGCTGATGAAGCAGGGAGGGGCGGCTTTGGAGGGCAGTGCGCTGGCCAACGGCCGGGCTCTGTCTGCCGGATCCCCACCGGTACCGCCGGGCTGGAACCCGAACTCCTCATCCGGGAAGGGCTCAGGAGGCAGCGCCGGCTCTTACATCCCCAGCTACACGTCGTGGTACCCTTCTGCGCACCAAGAAGCTATGCAGCAACCCCAGCTCATGTGAGATTGCTCGGCCTCCTACACCCGTCACTTTCCCGTCTCCCCCGGCCCGGCCCGGGCCCCTTCCGCTCCCGGTCTATCCTCCTTGTCTGTGTGCCCTGGGCTAGGAGAAGAAGGGTCCAGAAAGAAAGAAGGAAAAGCGAAGACAGGACGCCCTGCGGCCGCCTCCTCAGAGCCCGCGCTGTCCTGCCCGGCTACTCCCCGGTGCCGGCGCTCTGTCCTAACCCGGGCCTGGGCTGCGCGGTGACAGCAGGGAGTGCAGGCACAGCCACCTGAGACAGCCCGAGCTCCAAGACAAACCCACTTGACCCAAACCTCCGACCTTCAGCTTTGTGGGACTATCAGGAAAAGAAACAAACAAACAAAAATGTAGAAAAGGCAAAAGCTCTTTTCAGTCCTGTCAAGTCTCTTGTCTCCTTTTGCTCTGTCTGTGCGCCAATGAAGTCAAGGTCCTCTTCTATCTGCTGTCCTCATTCTGCAGCCTCTGCAAAAAGTCACCAAGTCCAAGCCTGCGCGGTCTGCCCGCCGCCCATCTCTGGATCTTGGGATGTTTGTCCCTTCCGGCCTCCTGGGCCCTGTCTGACCATCTGTGTAGCTTGTTTGAGATTTGGGGGGAAATTGGTGGGAGGGGGTTTTATTTATTGAAAAATGGACTTGCCTGAGGCTGAGTGTTGGCCGAATTGGGGTTCTGTGGGCAGCGTGGAGGGCACTGTCCAAACGAACTGTTTACTTTAAATGCACCTGGAAAAAACGAATAAGGGGGATGTGGTGCTTTTTAACTTATACAGTAACTTTTGTACTTGGATGGTATGACGAGGTGGAGCCGAATGATTTGCATTTTTTACATTTTCTGTATTATTTTTTAAATAACAATAAAAGAAAGATATATGAAGCCAACACAATTTTCTCATCTTGAGAGGAATGCTTGGTCACTCTGCCTGGACCAGAAGGAAAATCCTGATTTCCTCCTTTGCTAGAAAGAGGTCTGATGGGCAGGGGAGAGAGAGCAGGCAGGAGCAAGCGCCCTATCTCCACTGGGCTTTAAAGTAAGACAAAAGCAGCTTTATAACAATCCCTAGAGGCTCGACCACAGAGTAATACCAGTCACCACCCTGAACGCACAGTCTCCAGTGCAGGATCTAATCAGTGTACATATTATTATTGTTATTATTATCGTTATTATTATTATTATTGTTCTGTAAACATGTTGCACAAGCTTAGCCTTTTTTTTCTGTTCCGTTGTGTGTGGCTGTAAAACCCAATGCTTTGTGAAATGATAATCTTGACATTTTACTTGTGAAATTTGGGAAATGTGATCAACTGAAATCAACAGTGTTTTGTGTTCTCTATGTCAAAGTTTAGTTTTATATTGAGAATGTTAACTTATTGCTTTGTATCTTGGGGGGAAAAAAACTTTGTAAATAAGTTATAAAGTTTCTTTGAGACAGTAAAATTATGGTTTCAAGAAAGAGTTGCTGCCTCGCGTGCTGTGTGAGGGTGCAGGGGGCCAGGCCGGGTACCCACTTCTGGGACAAGTAACATGGAGGCAGAGATCCCAGACACTCCAAGATACCATCTAAGGCCTGAGGGGTGCTCCACTGGGTCTGTTCTTGCCTGGTTTCCTCATCCCCCAAGGGTGTCTGACCCCTACCTGAGTCGGAAGGGTGGAGAGAGTTTCTGGTGAGGGTCCCAAGGAAGGGGGCTCAGAAACAGGTGCGCAGGGCAAAGCCCGGCATCTGGAACAGAAAGGATGAAGACAGGCTGTGAGGAGAGGAAGACAGCGATCAAACGCAGCCCCTGGGAGATTTGAGTTCCTCCCGTGCCCAACCGCTGCCCAGCTGGCTCCTCGGAAGCCTGGAAGCAGAGCTGCCCTATTTTGTTCCCTGCCCCTCACTTCTGGGCCTTGGCTGGGACCTGGTCTCAAGCTTTTGCACCGGGAGGCCTCAGATCCCTTCGCAGAAAAGACCCGTGAGATGCCTGACAAGGCCTGAAGGACACGTCTGTTAGGCCGCCCCCAATCAATCTGTGCTCCAGAGGACCGGGCACAGTCCCAGGGAGCCACTTGAGCCCCTTCACAGCGAGAAACGCCCGTTCCTGCTGTCTGATCCGGATGTGCCTTCCAGAAATTGAGGTGTCAAGAGAGGGACAGATGGACTCAGTTCACTTATTGGAACTGGAGAGCTGGTCAGAGTCAAACACACCACCACCCACCTCCCAGGAAAAAATAAAAACCCTGGTCAAGCCATTATGCAGGCACCTCTGATGAAGCTCTTAGATATACTGGATCCAGGAGAGCGCGGGCTCAGGGAGGCTAGAACCAGATAAGTTCTCTTTTCTGCCTAGTGACTCAGTCCCAGGACAACCCCAACGCCAGACTCCGCAGCAGGGTCGAGGCAGCTCCGGAAAGCAGCGAACCCTGATCGGCTGTTTTATGCTATTTCTGCTTCCCACCCCCCATGCACCCTCCTTCCGACGATGCTGCTGCGGGCAGGGGCTGGTCCTCCGCCTTTGGGGGGCCCTACCCTGCACGCGGTGGGGAGCAGAGCCGGGAAGGCAGTGATCTGTGTTGTGACAAGCACCCATTTTTCAATTGGTGCTGGTGAAAGATCAGATGCGCTGGGCTCTTCTGAAGCCCTTTGGGAAGGGGAGGAGGAAGTGGGGGAGTTGGGGGGGGGGGGAGGTGGGGGTGGAGAAGCCGTGTGGTGGAGGAAGCAGGGGAGGTAGTGGGGGGGGGGGATGAAGCCAGGGACCTCGAGGCCTGGGATTGGGGCTTTTCCTTCCCCTGCCTCCTCTAGGACCTGGAGCACTAAAGTAGTGGGAGATCCGATTTCCAAGACTAGGGCTTCCTGGGCGGGTGGCCTGGCCTCAAAGCTCAGAAAGGGAACCATTTCCCTGGCTGGACTCTCCAGTGGGGACAAGGGTCTTTCTGGGTTTGTTTCCCGGGATATGTGGCTGTTAGTAGGGAGATCTCTCAGGCATCTGACTTGTGTCCCCCAGACAACAATCTGGGCCTAACACCCCAAACCACAGGCAAGATCTATTTGGTCAAGCAGATTTTAATATTTTGAGATATTAGCTTATACTAATTTAATAATCTCTTGCTAACAGTTCAAATAGAGAAATTATTAGTTTTAGCTCAATGAAGGCGGTCTTTAGTTAGGCTCTATTATAATTATAAGCAGTTGTACTTTTAAAAAATGTTAATCTCAATATAGGCCTAATTAATGCTGCCTTGTTACTGACAAGTAGTTCATCAAATATCTGATTCAAAGATTTTCATAATGAGTATATTAATTAAACTATGAATAATCTAAAGGTGGTTATATTTAAACAATACCTCATTATAATGATTAAATACTGATTTCGAATATTATGTCTTAACAATTGTCACTTAGAAAACACAACCTTTCCTTATGTATGAGTCTGTAATGGCAAAATGCAATTTTGGGATTTTTTTTCCCCTTGTTCAAAAAATGTGAACCTCATTTTAAAACACTTCTGAAATAGGTTACACACAGCTTAATGATTATCAAAATGACTCTTTTCTGCAAAAAAAGACCCCAAAGTGCGCGTACAGCTGCAAACCCAAGAGGGTCAGCATCATTTCACTGTATTCTCTTCTTGATTACAAGCCGGGCCCATCAAACACAACATAATTACAGTAATTTCAGGTTTATTTATTCTAATGCAGTTTCCCCATCTCTCTGGTAATTATGAGCAATTTTTTCGCCCAGGGAATCTTTTTGCATTAACAAAAGAGATAACGCACTGAAAGCCAAATTTGCTGTGCATTGAGAAAAGGAAAAAAAAAAATCAAATAGGTGCGAGCTGCCATCTCTGCAATTCTCCGGTACCGGAGCCGGCAAATTGCTTGCAGGTGTATGGAGCAAGCTTGTCAATGGCCGGGCCTCCAAATTAGCAAATGCACAGCGGCAAAGTAATGAAGACAGACTTAGCAAAATTGCCAAACAACAGATACCTCTTTAATATCTTCTCTCACACACACTCCCTCTAAAAAAGGGAGTCGGTTGGGGGTGGGGACAGAAACAACAGTTCCCAGCCCCCTTCTCACTGGGCTTAGCTTTCACAAGCTTGCATGGACTGGTTGACACTGTGCTAGTCTAATTGTGGAAAATCTCAGTCCCCAAATCTAGGTAATACTTTTTAACTAAAAAATTGGAAATATTTATAGTTCTTAGGTTTCCCTCGTTGATAGTCATGTCTTATTATTTTTCTTTCTTTTGAGAATCTCCACCTAGTCTGGGTTAGCTGGCTCTTCATCCTTCCTAATTCTATACTAATTTTAAGAGCCAGGAAAAGTTTTATAATCTCCCCCACCTGTATGCACGGAAGCCTGAATTTATTCATAGTCACTTGATTAAAAAAGAAAAAACAACGAGCTATCTCCTCTTAGAGAAATTGTCAATTGCTGCCACCCAAGGAAAGGTAGGTCTGGGAGCTGGATGTAGAACCTGAGACAGATAGTAGATAAAGAAAAATTGGGAGGACAGAAGCAACATTTCTCCTCTACCCCCCCCCCCACCCCTACTTCTCGCTCCCTCCCTTTCTCTTCT